TTTATGGGCGAAAGTGGAATACATGTATCTTCTAACAAAACTCAATTTTAAAAACAAGATATCAGTAAAACATATAGTATTTGGATACAAAATATCAGATCAGGGATAGGTTTTTGCATTTACAAGTCATACTATGTTTCAGAGCAAAAATTAAAATTCTAAGATGTGTATGACTTGTTTATAAAGGAATCATGAAGGGTTATGAATGAAAGCAAAACGATCTCTCAAAATGTATTTTTCATAAATTTAAAGAAATTGATATAATAGATAATCAATATATATTGTCATAGTTTATGTAATGTTTTTTAAATATATTCTGAGTATTTACCTGGCCACTCAGAAAGTATTTCATTCGGCCATTAAGGCTTCCTTAATTATTTGAAGAATAACAAAGCGTAAGGACGGTACAGAAATATATTTCATTAAGATCACTATTGAATTGAGCCTTGTTTTTTTCTGTTCTATACATCTTACTTCATAGTATCAGTTTCAATATTTATCATTATCTTACCTTCTATACATTTCTAAGAATATCATTGGTTAAAGACCGCGAGGAGACACTGTATATATAATATTGTGTTAGTAGGCGTGGTGATGAATGACTTAAAATAAATGCAGAAAAACGCTAAAGCTAAGAAGTTATTATTATTGGCATTTGTTTTTGTATAGGACAATGAAAGTAGGTTTTTAATATTGAAGACTTGATCACTTTAATGGAACACTAGTCTAAATGCCACATGCTAATCGGAAAGATAAATTCGTTACACAGTGTGCTAATGATCTAATATAATATGCTTCACTCTCACCACATATGGAATTTACTGACCCCATTTATATCGTATTATGTCACCAGCACATTGTTTAACTAATATTATAGGCCTTGTAATGACCTAGATGTATTTCTATGATGTCTAATATTTTCTCCATTTTGTTAATGGACTTCTTTCACATGGACGCTTACCAAAGATCAACATATCTTTTGAGCCTTAAAACTTTACTGACTGAGCAAAGATTATAGCCCTACCAAAACTCCGATTCTCAAAAAAAATGACATGAGTTTGTTTTTAAGCCTGATATCGATGATCAGTTTATTTGGAGCAGAACATGCATATGACAACAAAAGGAGACTATTTTTGATGTTTATAGGACATGGTATCATTTGGTGAAAAGGAAACAGATTTTAGAAAAGAATGGTCATAGATTTGTAACGTTGTGACTCAATTGTGATAGGACATGGATTTGAAAAAAGGATAGGGAGTTAAGGTTAGACATAGATTTGACTCTTACATATAGATTCTATCACTGCATCGAAAAAGATACGACATTTCCTCGCTTTAAAAAGAGGGGCGAAAGATACCAAAGGGACATTCAAACTCATAAGTCGAAAATAAACTGGCAACGCTATAGCTCAGAAAGAAAAAAAGAAACAGACAAACAATAGTACACAAAACACAGCATAGAAAACCAAAGACTGAGCAACACGAACCCAACAAAAAACTGGGGGTGATCTCAGGTGATCCGGAAGGGTAAGCAGATCCTGCTTCACATGTGGCACCCGTCGTGTTGCTCATGCTAATACAAACCCAGTTATAAGTCTTATTCGGTAGGTCACATTCGGGAAAAGGGTACGGGATTGTAGTAACGACATTAGGAACATATCCGCTTTCATCTGTGAAACGAATATTCTGTAACTCTCAACCAACTCGTGATGGCGAAGGGATGATTTCAACTTCACCACTTGGAACTCTAGTTTAATTGCTTCCTTGGGAGCAGCATGCATCTATCAAGGAAATAAAACGCGAGGGTTGTCGAGCTTTTTCATTATTCAAAGTTTAACTGTTTACAATGGAGAAATATTGTACTGTACGAGATTCGCAGGGTGAATCTATTTCTCTGATGATTTTTAAACGCTAAGTGGACTAACTTCAACTTTTTTTAATGGCAAAAAATGTGTTCGTTCTATGTGACGTCATCAAGTATGGTCACAAAGGAAATTCAGAAGAAAGCAAGTATGTCATAATTGAATTTTGACCAATGAAGAACTTAAATCAATCGAACCAGACGTTTATTATGAAATAAAAAATAATCAACCGGTCAGGGATAGTTTGATTCAGCCAAAAATTAGAGTATAGACGCTGGGTTTATAAAAAAAACAAGATTCAATTGCAATGTCTACTTAGGAATAAATCTTTTTATCAAGCGAATTAAATGAGCATTACTAGTGGCTTAGCTTCAATGGAATCTGTGAGGGCATAAAATACAATGGCATTAATTTATTGATTTCTTAATTAAAGGACAAAAAGACGCAATAAGACCGTGATCGAGATATTTAGACTAGATCTTCATGGAAGCAGTAATGAATAAAACAGAAGACATATTCTTATCAATTAGTAATTTGAATTCGATTTGCGGGTGTAGCAATGGTGTGTGTAGATGAAATTCTTGCACAATATTTTTGGCAATAACACTGATTGCTGTTGAATTTATTGGTTCTGATTCTGGATAGAAAGAGCATTTGGATATTATATCCCAAAAATGTTGTGTGGTGCATTTATATCTTAATTAGATACCAAGTAGTTTGTTATTTGTGTTCTTTAACATTACTTAATAATTAAATTTTAGATGTTAACGCGTCTTCCGATTGGCTGACGCTGATTTGTTTATCAGCTCATGGACATAATTGTGTCATGTGACCTTGACGTTATCAACGTTTTTTCATGATTTCCTCCGGTTTAAAATGGAATTAAGAATTAAATTATAAGAAATGACTGTAATATTTTTTCTGTCTATTCGAAAGAACATAAAAAATGTGGTGCACAAATTAAAATAACCCGCTACGCGAGTTATTCAGTGTGCACCACATTTTTGATGTTATTTCTTCATAGACAGAAAAAATATTACAGTCATTCCTTAATTAAATACCGACATTTGTATTTTTATCCGACATATAATCGAACTTACAGTTTTCGAGCTAGAAATGGTCAATGCTCAAAGCATTTAACTCCACTAACACTTTTCTATAGATTGCTTGATTAATTTTCGATAAGTATTTTTCAAAATGAAATGATGCATAAAATTGCTATCATTTCTTTATAGTTTTTCGTGAAAGATGATATTTTGCAATTGTATACTATTATGTTATGTACAGTCTCCCTTCTAAACATCCACTAGTGGACTTTCCTGGGGATACTAGGGTCGTTAAATGAAGAAATAAATCGCATGTGGCCCGATAGAAATATACAGTTAACCATTGAAGTTACTTTCAAAAACGACAGGTTTAAGCAAAACTTTTGTACAGCGAGGCACAAATTTAGGACAGCCACCGAGTCAAGTTAACTTAACCCGTCATCTAGAGGTCATCATGCTGTGTCGTACAAATTATTGGCGCCCACAACAATTAGCTTGTTAATATATCATACGCATGATTAAGTGTGTTTAAAAATAAATGGAAATAACTGCACATTTAAGTCACTTGATTTAAATTTATATTCGGTAAAACTAATATCATGACAAAAAATGTTCAAACACTTAAGATGACAAATAGTGACGTTTTAAATACGCACATATAATATATAAGAAAGTCGAGTAAAAGTTTTGTATGGTTTAATAATTTCTGATTTATGAGATTTATCTACGGTTTATGTAACAAATCTATAATATAAGTTCTTAATGCCCATTTAACCTAGTAGAAAAAATGAAGAATATTTTTTGTTTGAAAACATTGTGACAGTAGGGATTCCTTATATATTATATGTATATATCGCTTCTGTCATCAGACGCCGACATAGGCATCTACTATTTCTTAGAAGTATGTCTTACGAAATCAACACGAGAAACCATTACTTACAACTTAAGTTTATATAAGGCTATTTCTTAGTATATATCACGAAATCAACATCAGAACTTTACTTACAGCTAAATTAGGCAGAATTAGTATTTGAATAATGAGAAGATTCTGTAGAATCTTGTTTTGTTGTAATGATTATGTTCAGTCACGATATTAATTAGGAAGCCATCTTCCGTAATGTAAAATGTAACAATGATATTGTTTGTATTTGTACATCTTTATTACTATTCCCGGACATTTAATGACATTTGACAATAGACGCCGTGGCCAATATTATGTTGTGATGAACAAAAGTTCTTATCATTGATAATATATAATTGATGAAGACACTAACAATGAACTCTACAAAGTGTACTCGTGGTAATTCCTTTACAAACTACACTGATTTTGTTACTATATGGTTATTGCGTACAAAGGACCGTTGAAACAGTTTATGTCAATACTTTGCTGACAATAACAAATCTGTATGTGCATTAGGAATCACAGATGACCACTTATATATTTTAAATGTCGCAGTGTTGACCTATTCATCTTCACTCGCTCATGCACGCAGAAAGCCGTTTCGGGAACCAACTTCGGTCGAGTTAGTGGTAAATGCTATACGTTGTTTAAAGATTTACGACAGATGTTTCAGTATGAAAAAAAAACAGTTGTGGGGTTGTTTTTTAATTGAAGTCCATTCCAATTGATCTCTTATTCTTACTGCATTTTAACCGGTTTCCTATTTTTGTTTTTATTTGTGTTTTTGTTTATGTTTCCCCTGTTTCCATATTTGGTCGTAATCTTAGATGTGTAAAGGTAACCGAATTATTTATTCTTTAATAAAAACCTTTCCTTTACAATTAGATTCTAACCTTTTTAATGCAATTCATACTTGATAAAAAGAGTTCGAAACGGTACAAACAAAAAACAAACAAGGAAAATACGTAAATTGTACTTTGACTAATGGACGACTGGGGTACGTAGATACGTTATTTATCTGTTTTGTTCTGTTTTTTTTTAGTTTTATATACACGGCATTTACGTTTTCTGTAATGGGAATGTCATGGGTATTAGCAATAGTAAATTACTAAGTTACACTTTATAATTCTTTTAGAAATATTGATTATATTTTGTATAAGTCTTTATGTCCAATATTTTATGTGTTTTTCAGATTGATTTTCATCGTTGGGACACTTATGATGACATTTTCAAATGCATGTAAGTAGTGTTTAAATTGATGCATTAGTTACAATTTAGTTAATGGAAACAGTGCTGCTAGAAAATATCAGGTTTCACGAATTTCCATTCGCCTCTCAATTAGATTGTTTTCATAGTAAATCTTCTTATTAGACAATCTTACCTAATTAAAATGTCAAAAATACAAATTGATTACGTTGCAGGTGCGTCCTTGGGAAATATAATTAATTAACTATTGAACAGATAATTAGCCACTTGTGCAGAGTTACATAAATGATTTGTTTCTAGAATGGATGATCAAATTAGGTTATACACAAAACTGGTAATTCTCAATTATTTAGTACAAACAGTTCGATAACATTACTTGTATTTCATAAAATGAAAAAAGGAGTTTCTTAGCACTAACAAACTATGTACAATTGAACAGAAATTCTCTAGACAATAAGCTACTTTATTGCATAACGGATCAGGACACATTTAATTTTTTTTACATTACAATAACGAATTGGTTGACAAAAGCAAAGTTACTTGTGAATTTTATTAACATTTATTAACAGTTGTGACGCTTGCATATATTTTGTTAAACTTGTTTCGAGACCATCAGTCGATTCGATTCTGATATCGTCATCATTATAGATGTAAAAAAAAACCAATATAACCATGCAATTTTTATACTGTAGCATTTCCATGGTTGATAGTCCCTGCGTTTAGTATGTTTTCTATCGCTGGGTGTATCATCATGCTGACAAATCTGCAGACATCCAATTTGTTTGGTGATAGACGGTATACGGTCATGTCATCTTTAATTGGTGCCTATCAAGCAAGTGCCATAGTGTTTTTATGTATAAAGGTATGGCTGCTACCACACCTCCTTATTTTTTATATCGTTAACATACTTCAGTGACATTTAAAGTGTATTTCCGCATATTGAACGCGTTTGTATCCAAATATATTTTATGTTTATCCTCTTCTTGTTTAAATAAAATCATACACCGCTAACCATTTGTTTTTTTTTAAGTTTCAAATAAAGATGATTCAGTATTTATGCTCTTAAAACGGTTCTTTCAGTTTTTTGTCCTTGTGTTAGTTGTCTTGTATTGAGAAGTATCGATCTGAAGAGTTAAAGCATACAGATATTTCAATGTTGTGCCAATCTTCCTGACACAAGGAGTAGGTGTGATAAGAGTCTTTATTTGGCTTCTGAAATTGCACAAATGGTAAAACTATTTAAGCATTTCAAAATTGTGTTATTAAATTGATACAAAAAGATGTTCATATAATCGAAAAACTTTCGTGCAGAAAAGTTACTGGTGGTGTTAAGATGATATTATAATTATTACGACATTTTGATATATTGACCGAAAATGGCAATTTTACACAACAATAGGAACGCACAAACCGAACAATTTGAAAAGCAAAGATGTACAAATACATTAGATGTCTACAGTATTTGGTTATAGCCTTCAGTTGGTTCAGATCTAAAGATCTCAAAATGCAAGTAGTTTGAAGCTCTTATGCAAATATATAAGACAATCTTTTAAAATATAACAAAACAATTGATATCTGACACACTTTTGACTTGTTAACAACTGATGATTTATGCTGTTTGATATTCGAATTCAAAGGCCAACAAAAAAGTAAAATTACAAAAATACCGAACTCCAATGAAAATTAAAAACGGAAAGTCCCTTATCAACAAAGTGTCTTTATCACACCTTCTCCTTTGTTTAAGTTTAAAACACATAGGGTAATTGAGTAATTGTAGTCCAAGTCATCCAACTTTTTATATGTAAGGTAGCATGCATATGCAATAATGATAATAATAGCGAGAAATGAGCTGTAAAATTGACCGAAAACCGAGGTTGTATTTTGAAGGTGCTTTGAAGGTTGTTTGACCTGTTATGTTCTATGGCTATTGTCCAATATATTAACTCCCAAATTTTTTTTTTAATATATCAAGGACCATAACTCCTTATCGTTTAGAGTTAAAATCGTCAAAGCAAACTTGACCTCCATTTGTCACTAGTTACACCAACAGATTATTTAAAATTGAAAAATCATTTGTTGGTCTGTTCATAAGTGATTGCACGGAAACAGTCGGCAGCCGAAAACCCCTGTTTATAAGACACAACAAATGTATGAATATTTGTAAACAAAATAAACCTTAATTTTTTCAGTCAATGAACGACATACAGACATCGTTTATGTTTATGACAATGGGAGTAGTTCCAATTTTAGTTTCCACAATAGCCTTTCTTCCGAAAACAAAGGTTCCATGGCCACTTCCTGCGGATTACGGAGATGGCAGATCTGTAGCAGGAGGGAGTTCTACACGACATCGACAGTCTACTTCAGAAGGTATTATATATTCGTTATATTATCAACGCAAACTAGGCTGATGAAAAATGATGTTAAATGGCTTAAGAACACAGTCACTGTTCGGACTTAAAGAAGTCAGGAGCCTGTAATTCAGTGGTTTCGTTTAAATTTGATACATAAATCAGGCCGTTGTTTTTTTTTCATTTGAATTGGTTTACATTTTGATATGACGGGCCATTTATAGCTTGTGATACTGTATGGGTTTTGCGAATTGTTGAAGGTCGTATGGTGGCTAAAAGTTGCTAACATCTACGTCATTTGGTGTCAGATTGATATTTGTCTCATTGGCAATCATGCCATGTGCCTTGTTTTATAAAGAATGATTGCAATTTAATACACTATCTAAACAAATGATTTTAAAATGTAAGTTCATGTATCACCATTTAACGTCGCCTTATGTATGTTCAATATCTGAGACTTAGATCTACGATATTTTTAAACCATTGTCTAGGTGTTATTGCCAGCCTATTTGGATTATATATTTGAAAGTTGAAGCTATGACTTAAGAGTAGTAGGGTCAGTTTTCAAGAACGATTGCGTCTAATCGAAGATGATAAAAAAAAAGATACCAAAACAACTATTAGCAATAAATATCCAATGTCAGATACAAAATAGAAACAGGGAAAAGCTATCTTATAAAGTGCGTCACAACTTAGAATAAACAATCGCAAATGCTTAGCTAAACACGTCTGTTATATTGTACTACTGAAAACTAACCGAACTTTGAATTTTAATCAGTACAGAAATACCGAAGGTGATACTTAGTGCTTACTTGTGTTAATGGCATGTGTGTCTGCTGTCTCTGTCTTAAACATTCTGTTCTAAGAAACTGGTATATAATTTATGACGTTAACTACGTAAGTGTAAGGTCTAATAATAGTATTAATCCAACCCAAGCGATGCAAATACCATAGGAATAGATAGATTGACATCTCTGTACTTTTCTTAATATAGTATATAGAAAGCTCATTAGTTTAACATTGTAGTTGTTGAATTTTGATAAAGTACTGTCTTTGATATAAGCAAGATTGTTTTTAAACATGGCGAGGTCTTTTTGATGGTGAATTATCTAACGATTATTGATATGTTATTTTACATTATCAGATTGAATAACAAGAATTTGGACATTTTCAGGTTTTTATTGAATGTCATGATGTAATATTGTGTAAAGAAAATTTAAACGATTGTCAAGCCTTAAATATGGATAATCAATCTGACAACCGATACCATGAAGAATTTCAGAACTTCAACGTCTGTTGTCCAAAACTGCGCCACGTAGTCTCAGCGTCCTCGTAAATAACATGTGGACCCACCAGAACGTTCAATCAATGATGTTCCTATAGAGCAGCACAATATTTAAATTTCGTAGTCCACTCAGAACAAAACATTAAAGTTACTCACCTAAAATAAATGAAACAAAACCCACGTATAACAGAAACGTATTCGTATTGTCATTGATTATCAGTTCCATGTTTATCTTTCAAAAAAGTAGAAAGGGATATTGAAGAGCGATAGATTGGTACACGGCTTGTTCAATGACGACTTTTCGTTCTCCTCACAACATTATTTCTTTTTTTGTTAAACTTTTTAAGTTGGTCTCACGATATGCAAGCTTTTTTAGAACTCCTAGAACTAACCAAATAGAAACTAGGGGTTATGATCTTTACTTTAGCGACTTCGTTATAGTTATGATAAATTGTATGTTGTATGACTTCCTTTATCAGAAGTCCCATTGAAAGAATTTAACTTTGATACAATTTATCGTGAATTCATTTTAAGATTATCGACCTATGAATGCCTTAGTTCAGGAAAAAACAACATAATTATTCAATTTAAATTTGTTTACATGACATTTCCCCCTTACGCTTCAGGAAACATGTCAAGTCTTCTTTAAAACATCGGATTAAATTCACAGTTTTTGTGCTCAAATTCAATTTATTACCGATCACAACAATTTTATTTGATTTCCAGAATCCTTCACGCCAATCAATTTACCGTTATGAGAATTCAAAACATTTCAAACACAATTGAATATAACTCTATTTTTGCAGTACGACGCTATTTTTTCATTTGTGTTCGTGCCTCGCATTAAAGTTATCATTTCAATACATATATATGCTAGTTGCGTGGCTAAATGTGGTGTGTTTGTTTAAGGTATTTATCTCATCTAAAAACGTATGATACCTTGAGTTGCATCGATTTTTTTGGTATTCATTTCTATAATGAATATGTCAAACAGTTTTTAAATGAAATGAGTGATTTTCTAAATGAAAATAAGACGTTTTTCAAGGATTTGGAATATTCTTTTAGAGAACAGAAGAATTACAGAAGACTTAAATTATACTAATGAAGTTAAATAAAAAATCTAACACCTCTCAAAATGAAACAAGAGAAATACAAGATGATGATCATGTATAAGTTTGATAGGTTCCTAAGCGGTTAGGTAAATATATCTGATACACACCTACAATGTAACTGACTTGTTTCGTACACAATGTACCGAAGTCTGCTTATATATGATTTTTTTTAATTTCTTTTTGTATAAGAATGAAGACGTCTGACAGCCAATCCTATATGTGTTTACGTAAACAGAAAAAAACGAATTCGGCCATCAATGAGATTTCAAAAATATCGCAACAAAATTTAGATTCAAAAGGTATAAGAATGAAAATAAATTAATTCTATACTTTTTAGAATCTCCCCTTTTAAATTTGTACAGTTAATACACGAAATAATATGGGTTTACCACTATATGATTGAATGAATGAAAAGACAAACCAAGTTTCTAATGCAATTTTTATGTAACCACTTTTTTCATTGGCTAAAAGTTGCCGTCAAATCCACAGTAGACCAGTCGTAACTAAGGAGGGACCCGCCATTTTGAATTGATTGAATCAACAAATGTTCGATTTCTACAATATAATCGCAAATTAAATAACACCAATCTCAAAATCGCCGTTTTAATGTGATTTCATCAAAATTTGAATCGTAGAGGTAACGTAATAACCTCCAGTTTGTAAGTTTTCATTTGTATGACGTCACGATTAGCCATAACGTCTTTGTGCAAAAATCATTCATAAAGTTTCGCGGATTTTTTTTTTATTTCAAATTTATACATTTTTTCAAGCACTAACGTATTTTTTCTTTTGGTAATGCATTAGAATCGAAATAAATGTACTGTAGTTGAGGAGTTCCCACCGTCAATTTTGATTTGACGGTCGCAAATTGACATTTTACTGTCTCTGCTACGCGTCGCCATTAAAACTGCATTTGCGACCGTCAAATCGAAAATTGACGGTGGCAACTCTTTAACTACAGTACTGTTATTCCTTAATTTTGTGTTGATTTGCAGGCGTTTATTGTGTATTTGCACAATGCAGTTTGTAAAATCTTACTGTATTTATTTAAATATTTTTAACATATTGGGGTTCAAACTTTTAACATAGTATAAATCCCGGCCCTGCCCTTTTGTTTTGCTTTTTATCTAACAACCCTTTCATTTTATTTTCAGATGGACGTAAATGCTGCCTTAACTTGATAACATTTAAATCGTCTGCGCTATCGTCACTTTTTATTTGGTCCGTGATATGGTATGGTATATATCAGCTCAGAGCCTTCACATATGATAGTAATTTAAGACTAATGCTGATATCATACGGAACACCACGGGATGAAGGTGAAATTTTAAACCGGACTATCAATTTTAAATATAACATTGCAATGTTTTAAATATTAAAGCAATACTTTAAAAATTGCATGCGTCCGTAGCTCTTTTCTAGGTTTGTCTTCATCAGGAACGCTCAAAGCCGAATATCTAAAGCCAAGGATGTACAAGAACCGAAACCGTTGAAGAGCTATATGACCAAAAAAGAACCTTAAAACAGTAATACCTTTGCGCCTGTATTTTCTCTATTTTCTAGTTAGATTTTTTGGAGCTGACTGTACTAACACTTCATGCAATATTTCGTATTTAGTTCCGTTGACTATGGTGGATACAAAGAGAAGCGGGGTAAATGTCAATACAATAGATTTAACAGAAGTTTACCGATGTTAAAATCACATACATCGAATCAAACAATACAAATCAAGATAACAAACAAAACGGAGGGAATCAAATGAACTCTAAAAGCCTTGATATTTTGTCGTTGAAAATGCAAGAATTTCCCTTTTTTCGTTCCAGTGTATAAATACAGTGAATTATTTGCAGCAGTACAAACAATTTCCTTACCAGCGGGTCCTTTAATTGGACTTTTGGTTGATTGGAAACGTAGTAATTCATTTGGTATGTAATGTCTTAGGCTTAATGTTCTATTTCACGATACATTGAAGAGATAATTTCGATCTTTAGTTATGCATGTCATAGGATAATATATTTTCTGAAAATTGATTTTTTTCTCGATATTTTCTTAACAAAATTAATTTAAATACAATATGATCATACTTTAACCATGAACACTACTTTTATAATAATTAACAATTAGTATCATACAAAAATATACAACATAATCAATTTCCACATGACCGTATGATATCTGTCGTATAATTAAACAATTCTGTATCGTTTATGAAATGTGTCTGGATTTTAAAAGGTTTGTTTGTTTTATTTCAGCAGGAAATCCGTTAATTCTTCAGATGAAAAATGTACAGTTTATAACATTTGTGACATTTGGAATAGCTTTAGTGAATAATATTTTAACAACTATTCCTTCTATTCAGTTACAAGTAGCGGGTTTTATTTTACAAGCTATAGAGAGAGTAGCAGTTATGACATCTATTTGCGCTTTTTTAACACATTTGTAAGTATCAAGAATATACGGTCTCATATATTGTTGCAAATGCTAAACCAGAATACGACTACGTAAAAAATAAATATGAATAGTTAAAAAAGAAAACTTAAATGAGGCAGTAGCATAAAATTCACCAAACTCCGTCTCACAAAACACACCGCTCAGAGTTTATCAATAGTCCTTTAACAAATGTATGAAATTTATATCAGTTTGTAAACTCAGTAAGAAAAAAAAAACGGAACAAAATCATCAAGTAAAGGCAAGTCAAAATAGGAACAGTAAAAGTCACCTCGGAAAGAAAAAGCAGCTATATATATATATATATATATATGCCCTTTGGCAAAACAACTACGTTTTAGTGTAATGTTAACGGAACACTTAACAGACACATATAATTCATCTTCAATGCCATATTTTCAAAGATAGAATGGCCTCTATTTAACTAGTTGGGTCTAATTTTATTCACTGCCCATTTACCTTGTATGAAATTGAAAAAAAAAATATTTATTAAGATATAAACACGGGTTGAAAAAAATCAGATTTATTCAGAATTTTATTTGCGTAATGTATTCATTTATTTGTTTTTGTTCTTTTTTATAACTGGAATAAGCTGGTTTTTCATATTTGGGTTGTTTTTACAGCTGAATAATCCTGATATATATTAAATAAAAAATCTAACACCTCTCAAAATGAAACAAGAGAAATACAAGATGATGATCATGTATAAGTTTGATAGGTTCCTAAGCGGTTAGGTAAATATATCTGATACACACCTACAATGTAACTGACTTGTTTCGTACACAATGTACCGAAGTCTGCTTATATATGATTTTTTTTAATCTCTTTTTGTATAAGATTGAAGACGTCTGACAGCCAATCCTATATGTGTTTACGTAAACAGAAAAAACGAATTCGGCCATCAATGAGATTTCAAAAATATCGCAACAAAATTTAGATTCAAAAGGTATAAGAATGAAAATAAATTAATTCTATACTTTTTAGAATCTCCACTTTTAAATTTGTACAGTTAATACACGAAATAATATGGGTTTACCACTATATGATTGAATGAATGAAAAGACAAACCAAGTTTCTAATGCAATTTTTATGTAACCACTTTTTTCATTAACACTTAACAGACACATATAATTCATCTTCAATGCCATATTTTCAAAGATAGAATGGCCTCTATTTAACTAGTTGGGTCTAATTTTATTCACTGCCCATTTACCTTGTATGAAATTGAAAAAAAAAATATTTATTAAGATATAAACACGGGTTGAAAAAAATCAGATTTATTCAGAATTTTATTTGCGTAATGTATTCATTTATTTGTTTTTGTTCTTTTTTATAACTGGAATAAGCTGGTTTTTCATATTTGGGTTGTTTTTACAGCTGAATAATCCTGATATGAAAGTTTTCAATAACTAGCTTTGTTATATCTCTTTATATTGAATTAGCATCATGCGACAAGTTGACGTCAAACCAACTAATTTTCAAATTGGACGGCTGACAAAAAATTTCACAACTGAATGCATTTGAAAGTTCATGCTATAGCAACCATTGGAACAGATTTTCAATCATGTAATGTTTAATGTGAGGGTCTGATATATTACAAGATTACAATATTAGATTATTACGATCAAGTTTCATTTAGGGAAGGAGAAAATGAAATTGTTACTAGCTAATAAATAGATATAAGAAGATGTGGTATGAGTGCCAATGAGACAACTAACATAGAACTATGTAGTATTCCCTTTCCGCTAGTTACTATAAACAGTATGTCTTGCACGTGATACAGATAGCTCAAATATCGAATGTTGCCAGATTGAATTATTCTTTGAATGTCGTCCTAGGTTTGCTGTTGCTTATTGTACATATATGTAAAATTGAGAATGGAAATGGGGAATATGTCAAAGAGACAACAACCCGGCCAAAGTTCAGATAACAGCCGAAGGCCACCAATGGGTCTTCAACGCAGCGAGAAAATCCCACACCCGGAGGTGGTCCTCAGCTGGCCCCTAAATAAAAATGTGTACTAGTTCAGTGATAATGGACGTCATACTAAACTCCAAAACATATAAATGAACTAAAATTAAAAACACATACAAGACTAACAAAGGCCAGAGGCTCCTGACTTGGGACAGGCGCAAAAATGCGACGGGGTTAAACATGTTTTGTGAGATCTTAACCCTCCCCTATACCTCTAGCCAATGTAGAATACAGAAACACACAGCAATACACACAGTAAAACTCAGTTCAAAAGAAGTCCGAGTCCGATGTCAGAATAGGTAACAAAAGAAACTAAGCAAAATAACAATGATACATAAATTAACAAAGGACTACTAGTAGTCACTGACATGCCAGCTCCAGACCTCAATTAAACTGATTGAAAGATTTTGTCTTCATCATATGAAAATCAAGCACAATCCCTCCCAAATATGCAATCCTTAATGACTTGTATCGTAACTATATTCCTTCCGAATAAGTCTGTTTAAAGGTTTGGTTAGCTTTTGAGGTGAATGCCGACTTTTTTGTGCTTTGTAAAGAATATTACCATAAAAGATGGGATGTGAAATACCTGAACGTATATGATGTCTACATGTTAATTTATATTTACGAATGATGCCCTTGTACCGATTATAAAATTTAGTAAATGTTTTGACTAGTTTGTGATATCAAAAACCCTGGTGTAATAATTTTTCAGTAAAACAGATATTTCTTTCGTTAAAATCAAATACGTTGTTACATACACGAGCGAATCGAACAAGTTGAGATATTTAAACACCATAAGATGGTGACAAGGGAACGTCACCATCTAAAAATGGATAATTAACAATAGGAAATGAAAAATCATCTCTTTTGGCATAAATTTTAGTACTAAGCTTCCAGTTAAAGATATAGATAACAAGATCCAGGAAAGGACAGTATATGTATCTGTATTGCATCAAATCATTAAATCAAAATGTATTAATGAATTGAATAATAAAAAAAACTTTTTAATGACTGTAGTAAATCCATTTGTATTCATTCACAGATCCTTGATAACCTTTTGTTTTTATTGGTAGACATTTTCCAGCTGAACATTTTGGAAAATTGATTGGCCTTCATTTTCTATCTTCAAGTATACTGTGTCTTCTCAGATTTCCATTCCAAACATTCATCAACACATCATTAAAAGGTGATCCATTTTATGTGAGTATGATGTACTTTGACCCTTAATTGTGACAAAACTTTAGAAACATTGCAAATCTTTATCTTCGATACGGGTAATGCACGGTGTAACTTTATTTTGAACAATAAACAGGATTAAAACCTCAAACACTGTGGGAATAACAATCAAAGTATATTCTTTGTTGATCTTGCTCTACTTTGAAATTGAACAAAAAATAAATATTAGAAAAGTTCTTAATACACTTGAAATTAAACTTAAATTTGCACTGTACATCACAAAGTGAAACAGTCTGTTATAGTAGAGACTAAAATAAGAGAAAATGCACAATATGCTGAAGGGATATTAAAATGTCAAGGTTTCATTAGACGGAGGTAAAATAACAAAAATGTATATATTTTAACTAGACAACAATTAAAATATATAATCGGGGAACACAAACTTCAAAGACAACACAGAGTGTTGTCACGTTCTTCGTACGTTCCTAAATGAGTGATCACTAAGCACAAGCACACTCATCGTTCGAATAAAAATTGTCTTGATGGTTTCATGTCATATAAAACGGAAAATTATCTCAAACAAGATCAAAGCAAAATTTAATAAAATAGCAAAATGTTAACAACCTTTAAGATTTGCGGAAATGTTTTCCAAATTGAAAAACATTAGTACATATAGATATAAAACTTGTATAATAAACGAAAACAATTGATGCAAAAAAATGAACCTGAATGACGGCGTAAAACACATATCACAACTGGTTTTTACTCCTGATGTCGAATCTTAGTGTTATTACAAGATAATATATATTTCATGATGATATGGTTAATCATCTAAACATCGCAATTCAATTAGCAAATATTTTAACAACATGTAGGAGGGACAAGTCTAGCCAGGTCCAGATAATAAATCGAGGTAGAAGTACAGAAAATTCCCATTACAAGTGTACCTGTCCTGAATTAAGTTTCTAGACTCTTGTTTTGCACATCATACAAATAAATCAAATAAATCATATCACGTTATTAATTTAAAGTTTCATTCTGATAGTCATTAGTTGAATTTTCGTGTTAAGACAATGTGTTTCTTATTTTCAGATCAACTTATTATTACTGGTGTTATTGATTTTATCGTGTGGTCATCCATTTTTGATATGGTACCATTGTAGAATTGGACTAATTAACAACAGTTCTTTGTCAAATAGCAGTAATGGTAGAGAACAGTTAGTTGTCACGATTGAAGATGAAAATGATAATAATCGTCGTAGTATGATTAGATCTTAACAAACATATTCATTAGAAAGAATGGAAGGACTGGAGAAAACTTCTTTTACATTTACAACATTTATTTGTATGAAAAACCATTGTTTCAGGCCGACATGATCATTCGGGTATATTTTCTGCAGTCAGAGTATATCGATGTGGTGATTTCAATGGTTGACTACAAAGAAGCTTTATGACATAAAACTGTAATTTAACATTTTTGTTTCTATAAGAAGATAAAAATACAAATAATGGTATTGAATATTGAAATCATATCCACTCCCTATTGACAATGTCTGAATGAAGCCAAACAACGATATGTATTTTACATTTTGTGCAAATGTATGTCTTCAGTTTCGTTTTATTTAGTTTAATGTAAATGAATAAATAAATAAATACAAATATTGAATAACAAGTGACAACTTCTTTCTATGCTTTACCTTTTTGTTAAACCCAAGCAAGAAATATGTACTTAATAGTCGTTTAAATATTTTGGGTTTATGATGTGTGCATGAAAGTTGTAAAATATTGTAAGGTGTCTTGCAATCGAATATACATGTATGTCTCGTCAAACTGGATTTAAACAAGAGTAACACAATGGATGTTATTTGTCTATCTTTTTTATTTAGTTCAAGAGAGATGGAGTACCACATGATAAGTAGACCTGATTGTTTTTTTGTATGGACATTGCAGTTTCTTCATAAACGTTTTTTATCTATGAAAAGACTAAAAGAACTATAACACGTCTTACTTGTAAACCAATGAAAATTTGTCTGTAAGTGATGTCGCCTACTTTGTTATCATTAATAAGAAGACGATTCATTCACAACGAAGTTGATGTGCAAAAGCAACTTTTGACAGTACGTTAAAATTATATATTTCATCAAGTTATATTCTAGTTTGTAAATTGCAACTTCGAGTTTCTGTAATCATTTGAAAGGATATGAATTTAAAACTTTTTGAACTAGTGATCTGTGATGATTCAACAATCGATCCACCGTTCTCGATTTGAAAAAAAGGGGAAAGTACAAAAAAACAAAAACAATAAGTCAAAACAAACAATAGACGTTGGTATATATATCTACCAGTTAAATCAACAGTCTTGGCCAGCATGCGCATGCTTTAGTGATTTCCTTAATACAAAGTGGCTGCTTACAAGAAATCTATGGTACCAAGCTAGGGTTCCTAAAATCAAGTCGAAGAAATTCCTGAAAAACCTTTAAAGACGCCACTATCATTTCTATCTTAGATGACCACTGTTATGTTCCACGTTTTGTTGACACTTCACATCTTGCGTATAATCTAGGTTAAAGTTGTCGTCAATAACACGACGGGAACTAAAGCAATAGCAGAGCTCGAACTACCTTTGTCTCCGAAGCAGATTGCTTCACTTTCGATTTGTAGTTTGGTTTGTGTTACTCAATCTTTTGTGATTCTATGGTTGCTTGGTGGACTTGAATGTTTTGTTTTCTTTTTGTCATGTTCTTATCAGTTCTTATTGGACTTCTGATTTGTGATTGCCCCCTTGGTATTTTCTCCTACTCTTTCTTTCAAATTATCATTCACTATAATTAGTTTGTGAAGTACCTTATTACTACATACAGTCCTAAAACGTCAATTTGGTATCATCTCTCCTTGTCATATACAACGTCATCAATACTACCTATTATGTACCTTTTCATCTAAAATGTAAAATGTCATCAGTATGTTCCCCCGAGCTTAGTGAAATTGGTTATTTCTAAATAAAAATAACAAGGGTAGTACTAGGACTTGTGTATTTTTCCATTATTCTTAGTAATATTTTTACTTAATCGGTCATACTGTGAATATATGTGTTATAAGTAAGAAAACAAAATTTCTGAAGGACAATTTGTATATAAATATATGCATATCCATAAAAGACAGCGTTTGTCACCTTTTGACACAAATATTTCAATTTCTTAAGAGATTCAGAAAAATATTAGTTTCACGCATCATATTTCATCACATATTCATGTAAAACAAGTTAAAAAAAAAAACTCACATTGAATCTAGATAAGCAGACAATAACTTAATGACTAATTATGACTTTCACTCAGATATTTATTTCAATTTTTTCAATCTTAATAACACTCTTAAAAATGGAAGGAAGCTCAAATACAACAAAAAAAAAAAACCAAAGACATAAGGATAACTAGCCAATGAAAAGACAGATTATAATTAGGAATGTGATAGAGCAAAAGTAAATTGAACTTAATAGACACGCAATTAAAAGACGTTCTCACACAATGCCTTCAGCAGACCTTTAATAAGATGGTATTTTTAAAAATTGAAAGAGTTGATATTACTTTGTTTCATTAAAAAGAATGGCGAACGTAGATACAAGTATCTTGTCTTTGGGAGGGATAAATCCTACTTTGTAAAGAATCACTCTGATTCATACAAGAAATTCTCTGAAACTGACATTATCAAGATGCTTGATTTCTTGATTGACAACACATTTGTTACGTTTGGAGGACGTGTTTTTCAACAGACTGTCGGAATTCTAATTGGAACCAATTGTGCCCCTCTTCTTGCCGACTTGTTTCTTTATTATTATGAGGCTGACTTCATACAGGAACTTCTTAGGAAGAAAGATAAGAAGTTAGCAATATCCTTTAACTTTACGTTCCGCTATATAGATGATGTTCTCTCACTAAATAATACAAAATTTGGTGACTATGTTGAACGAATCCATCCCATCAAACTAGAGATAAAGGATACTACAGATACAGTTAAGTCTGCCTCATATCTTGACTTACATCTAGAAATTGACAATGAGGGTCTGTTGAAAACAAAACTTACATACAAAAGAGATGATTTCAGCCTTCCAATTGTGAACTTTCATTTCTATGTAGCAACATTCCAGCAGCGTCTGCATACGGAGTATATATCTCCCAATTGATACGATATTCCCGCGCTTGTTTTTCCTATCATGATTTCCTTAATAGAGGATTGCTGCTCACAAGGAAGCTATTAAACCAAGAGTTCCAAATGGTGAAGTTGAAATCATCCCTTCGTAAATTTTACGGACACCATCACGAGTTGGTTGACCGTTATGGAATAACCGTTTCACAGATGATATCGGATATGTTCCTTATGTCGTAACTACAATATCCTTTCCTTTTCACGAATGTGACCTACCGAATTAGACTATTTACCGGATTTGTAATAACATAAACAACACATGTGGAGCAGAATCTGCTCACCCTTCCGGAGCACCTGAGATCACCCCCAGTTTTTGGTGGGGTTCGTGTTGTTTAGTCTTTAGTTTTCTATGTTGTTTCATCTGTACTATTATTTGTCTATTTGTCTGTTTATTTTTGGCCATTGCGTTGTCAGTTTGTTTTCGATCTATGAGTTTGACTGTCCCTCTGGTATCTTTCGTTCCTCTTTTAAAAAGGGACAACAACTTTAAACAGTTTCTTTTTCAGTTTTTATAATAGAACATCTATAGATTTAACTTGTGTAGGGGAATAAGTATTAAATGGTGATTTATGGAAGAACACATGCGTTCCCGTAAACCAATATTGAGATGAACACATTTAATAAATCCGTCCTTATTGCGGCAAAGCGAATAGATTTATATTCATATACCAACTTTTCATTCTGAACTAACTATTTGGAGCAAGAAGATCGTTAGTAATCATATACTTATTCAGGGGAAAGGACTATCAATTAGCCTAGTTCAGACGTTAAACTACGTTACAAATTTCTTTTTTAAAGGTCAAACACAAAAAGTTCGGTTTAATTTGTTTCGTTTGAACGTTTCTTGAGGGTTGGTGCCAAGGTTTAGCGGAGTTGATACCACACATAATTACAACGAATATTTGCTGATAAGACCTTAAAATGCTTTGAGTGCATGTGTATATCTGTTTAGAAACAAGTTTAATACAGGTTTGGCGGTAGGTACCATACAGGTAGGTGTGACTTGAAACGAATGGTATTTTAAGTCAAAGTTCGAATCAGTTTTATTTACAAAGACCTACGGTGAGGTTTCAAAGCATTTAATTAATTCGAAGCAGGAGATCGTGGAAGACCCACCTATTTTATATATTTTATATGGTTTGTTGATTTCCTTATAACATTTGAGTGTTGTTAACAGCTTTTACATTTTTGTCTTGGTATCAATTTAGCATGGAGCTTAAGCGAATTAGAGTTCATTTGATTTCCTCGTTGATGATTTCAATGGGGTAGGGGGGACTTCACTTCGTAATTGATAGGGGTGTCGCCGGAGTTCCGTTACCCCAACATTTTAGTATAATTTAGATTTTGAAAATGTATACCTTTTCATATATTACGTAGTTAAAAAGGTTTGTCATATTTGTTGGGTTTCGTGTGGTGTCCAGGGGTGGACGAGAATCACTTGCCGGCGTAATGGAACAAAAATTACATTTGCTCGGAGCTCAAATCTGAGGCTCAAATTTCTTATGTAATGTTACTTTAGGCGAGACTTTCGGCTGTGAACAAATTACAGGGCTTTTCATATAATAAATAATCGGAGCTTTGTTGACCTTATCATATATTTATGATAGTTTTCCACACCTATTCACACATTCTTAAGCTGAAAAATGTGACCTATTCAAGCGGCAAGTACTATCACCGTGTATATAGGAAGTTGGTCCCCTCGAGACAATACCTTGACATGTGATATTTGAACATTCATATGGTAGACCTTAAGTGTTGACTTGGGTATAACAATAAGACCACTGCGTTATACCGCCAAGCAGTGAAACCTATGATAATAGGCATCATTCGTACTGTGCAAACAAATATAAAGTGCCACATACGCATGATGTCCTAACTTCTTGTCATTCTCTCTGGTTAACCCAATTTGCAGAACTTGCCAATTGCACTATTGTGAATTTGGTTTTGTTACGATACGGCTAGTGTTTCCTTTGTTAGTTTCAAGACACCAAACGTTTACGTATCGTGTCATAAAAAACATTTACAAAGAAAAAAAAAAAAAAAAATTAGAGAAAATAAAATTACCAGGAACAGAATTAAAACCAACTATTTAATATAAGTTATAACAATTATGATGCCTTATTAACAAAAAGCGCTTCTTTAAAATTCTGAAACATGTGAAATGTCAGCTTTAAAGGAGGACAACGTAAAGTAATTGTATCAAAGAGATTGCATCATAAATTGTCATTATTCTAAACAAAAATGTGGCGGAGAACAAAACTGGTAATGTAAATGCATAAGTGGAAGAGAAATCGACAACTCCAAAGTAGAATGTAAAACGAAAAGACAAACAACAATCGACAAAACAGCGATTAGTCTCATTCAGTGATTAGTCTCATTCAGTGATTAGTCTCATTCAGTGATTAGTCTCATTCAGTGATTAGTCTCATTCAGTGATTAGTCTCATTCTGTGATTAGTCTCATTCAGTGATTAGTCTCATTCAGTGATTAGTCTCATTCTGTGATTAGTCTCATTCAGTGATTAGTCTCATTCAGTGATTAGTCTCATTCAGTGATGTCATAATCGAGGAAAACAAGACGGGATTAAACAAGTGGGACATATCAGAGTCATTTTTAATATAGATTTTCTACAACTGTTAACCAATTCAAATATCACATAACTTAGTGTAAATAGAACGAGAGTTCTTATATGGATATGTGTTTCAAGTTTATGTATAGAACAGGTAGAAGTTCATTTAAATGATTAAGTTATTCAGAGGTTTTACGACAATTTACGATGACACAGATGTTTCACTGGGAATACCACACGAACATTTGAATGCAAGATGTATACTGGAAGAAATCGAATAAATTGCACAAGACAAACACATGTACCTAAAATGCGTGTGTTTTTGGCGATATACCACGTGTTACATCGTTCAATGTATGTTCGAGTTCTGATAAATTTTATATCTTGTGTGGTAAACGGGAGATAATTCAAATGTACTACTTATGGCGTATACCAAACTAGTACTGCATATGTAATGATAAATATATTCGGCAGAGGGTATAATATGATTTGTGTGCGCATAAATAAATTTGTTCCAATAGTGGCATCCGTTATGTTATTTATGACGGGTTATTCTATGAGGAGCTGCATTTCTAAGTTGTCATAGCAGATGAAAGGAATAAAGAAGAGTGGGAAAGACCACTAGAACATACCAAAAACGTAAAGATCTCATCTTGTGCTCTCTTCACTGTTGATTTAAGTTAAGGTATGTAGCTCGCGATGTTAATTTGTGGTATCGTATATTTCATGATCAGTAAGATTGATGTTATCAACATAAGAGTCATAATAGTCGCATTACTTGGTGAATGTCATACGAGATGTTTTGGTTCTCTTGAAACCTGTCCATTAAATAGACGTATATGAATAAACAATATTTCAGTAAGACTAGATACACAGGACCATTCAATTCTGTTAATAGACAACCATATCATTTAGAGTTATTTATCTTTGTCTGAGGAAATGGAACCAAACGGAGATGAAACAATAGCAATTTGTCAAATTAGAATGATTACTGTTGCACATAAGCATATATCAATATTTTTTAGAATTAAAAGCAAAGATAGGCACAAATGATCTACATGTGATAAATTGATTTAAAAGAGGGACGAAAGATACCAGAGGGACAGTCAAACTCATAGATCGAAAACAAACTGACAACGCCATGGCCAAAAATAAAAAGATAAACAGACAAATAATAGTACAGATGACACAACATAGAAAACTAAAGACTAAGCAACACGAACCCCATCAAAAACTGGGGGTGATCTTAGGTGCTCTGGATAGGTAAGCAGATCCTTCTCCACATGTGGCACCCGTTGTGTTGCTTATGTTATTACAAATCCGGTAAATAGTCTAATTCAGTAGGTCACATTCGTGAAAAGGTAAGGGTATTGTAGTTACGACATAAGGAACATATCCGATATCATCTGTGAAACGGTTATTCCATAACGGTCAACCAACTTGTGATGGCGTCCGTAAAATTTACGAAGGGATGATTTCAACTTCACCATTTGGAACTCTTGGTTTAATGGCTTCCAAACTTATTTACCACATAAATGTGTCACTTAATCATTGTTTGAAAATTTCAATAAAGGAAAAAAGATGCAAGAGACAATAAAAAACAGACATCTGAAAAAAAGACAACAGCATGCTAAAACCCACTTTAAAAACAAACAAAGTCACAAAAAACCAAAACAGAAAATCAAAGATCAAAGAACAAGAGCCCAACTGCATAGAGGGTTGCAATCGTGTTCTCGGGACGAGAAAACATTTCATGCTTCTCTATAGCTAGTGGCACCTACTATGTCGATAAAGGCAAAATAATCCAGCAAAAATCGAGAGTTTCTGTATTGTGATTATTATGGGGACATATAAAGTTATATTCTATCCATAACACACTTTGTATTTCGCCAAATATGTTCCAGTTACATCGGAAATATAAACAGCAGATTCCATTTTGCTGAAACAGATGGATCTTACTTCTTCGATCCCATCTTTTTCACTAAGTAATACATTACTCCTTCTTCCGTCCTTTGCTATGACTATTACTTTGTCGGAAATGTCATCGGCTAACAATATATTACCATAGTTATCGGTGCATATTCCTTGTGGATCTTTGAGATCGCCACTTTTAAACTCCCAGACTTGTTTTCCTTTCCAATCAACACATGAAAGTACTAGGCCATGATTATCACTAAAAATTATTCCATCATTCGTAAATATGAATTCAAACAGCAAAGTTTCGGACGCAACATTGAGAGACTTAAGTGTATTTCCTTCTAAGTCAATCACACGAATTTCGTCATCTCTTGGTAAATGTAAACCTACAGCAATAGTTTTATTTAGTGATGACAAGCCTAAACATTTCTTATGTAGTTTTATAACTTTTTCGACGGAATCGTTATTCAAATGAATGATTTTAACTACCTTTTCGTTTGGAAAGGACACAACAATTGCATCGTTTTCTAGTTCTGCGACACCAAAGGGTTCGCCAAATACTTTAACATTTTTTTCGAAATTGCAGTCAGTTCTAAATAGTAGTATTCCTCCTTCACCCACAATAAGTATAACTCGATTATCAGTCAAAGAAATCATGGCTGTTACAACTTGTAACGTATCGTTGATGTGCACAATATTTAATTTTGTTTCCAGTTCCAGCGAAATATTTCGTAAGAGAAGAGAATCGCTACATTCTACTTGCACTTCCTTATATACGTTATCTTTATTAAATGACGTTTCCTTTTTAATAACAATTACGCGGCCTAATGATTCCAGTGATTCCAGAGCAGTTACTAATTCAACAAAGTTTTTGTTTTCTTCCACATCGATGCAGATGTCTTTCATTCTATCATCGTGCCACAATTCATCAATGTATCTTTTATATGGATTCATCTGTTGCTCAATTTGATGGACTCCAAGAAACTGTTGATGTTTGGAGGCATATTTACTCAGTACATGAAGATTGCGTATCATTTCATCTAATTCTGTTTTCTTTTCTTCTATTTCGTCAACAAATGCCTTTGCTTTTAATTTTTCTTTTTCCCAGACATTATCAAGTTCTTTTTTTAATTTCGCCTTTAGGTTATCACAATGATTACTCTGAATTCCCTTTGTAATGTGTTTGATATCGTCTTTAATGGTTGGATATTGTCTATCCCCACGTTGGATGTTTTCTGCTTTTAACTTTATGATCTCGTCAACAGTTCTTAGCATTGACATGATGTCCTTTTCTAATAGCATTGTTGATTTAGCTGTTTTTGTCTTTTCTATGACTGTTGTTAAACATTTTATTTCTGAACATTTTGCATGTTTAATCGAAACACATTCATCACAACAAGGTATTAAATGAATCTGACAATATAGGTCGAATTGTCTATTATGTTCATGGCATTCTGTGTTAATAAGCGGTAGCCTTGTGTGAGTTTTAACATCAATAGTCCTGTGCTCGTGTGTCAATTTCAATCTTTTGTGATGTACTGAACATTTTGAACATAGCCCTTCATTGCAGTTGTTACACCATACCACAGCAGCTGAAATTGTTTTGTTGGCTCCACATGGGCCGCATTTCACGCAGTTGCTTGTCGTCATGACATTTATTCACAGTTTCAAATAATTTTTAGTAGTATCCTATTTTCGAAGAAATACAAACATGCTAAAATGTAAATTTTCAAATAAATATATTTAAATGATTAAACCAATGATTTTATTTCTTTAAAAGATAGTGTCATGAAAGTATTATTCTTTGAATGTGTAATACTTGATGTAAACTTGGTTATTATGATCAATAATTTTGACAATAGATAAATTGGACAATTTTCGCAATTACAGAAATACATGAAAAAAAGTGGAATAACAAAAATACCGAACTCAAAGGAAAATTCAAAACCGAAAGTCCCTTATCAAATGCAAAATCAAAAGCTGAAACAGGATTAACGGAAGAAAATTGTCTCCAAAGTAATATTTCTTTATTGAGTAGTATGCATCACCGCCATTTGAATCCAGAGACAGCCATACATGATACGATCAGGAATAGGCAAAGTTTCAGTTTTGACGAACATTCAGGTGTCATCATAGATTTACATTGACAATTGTGTCCCTGACGTTGTTATATAAACTACATTTAGGTATAATTAGATGTGCACGTAAAATTTTGTTGAAAATGAATTAAAGGAGATTAAAGGTACAAATCAATGAGACAACAACCTAACAACACTGAAACTGTTATAACATGGCCAAATGGATCAAATCTGAACTTCTATGTTTGACAGTCTCATGTTGGAAGAACATTATTTTCTATAATGACGTCTGGTGATATTGACGTATAATGAGAAATAAAACTTCTACTTAGTTTAATTTATACATACAAGAAATTATAAGTGGCTCAAGACTGGCAGATATGAAATTTTAAAAGGTAGAGTCATAAAAGTACTAGACATATTAACAAAATCAATACCTCTGTTAATGTATTTATTTTTTTGAAATTGCCTTATATGATCTATAGGTTTGTCAATAGGAGGGAAAGTCTATGTAGACAAAAAACTGTTGTGATATCTTGGAATGCTCTTCAACTTCGTACTTTATTTGGCCTTTTTAGCTTTTTTTGATTCGAGCATCACTGATGAGTCTTTTGTAGACGAAACGCGCGTCTAGCGCAAATACAAACTTTCAATCCTGGTATCTATGATGAGTTTACTGGACTAAATAACGATATGATATAATGTAATTTAATAATTGATATTTAACCCAGCTTCCATAATTATTGGTGTCGACCATTGTTTTTAAATATCGATATTAGAGATCATCAAGAGTAAAATTAGTACGATGTTTAAATCGTTTATTGAGTTTTAGACGATTGCCATGAGACCTATTTATTGTTTTTATCAACTATATACATTATATCAATAAAAGAAGTTTTAGATATGTTTCCTTGTGCTATAATATTTATTTAGATCCATGGGATAAGCAGTCTGTAGTCGTTTAGTCAAAGAGATTCGGAAATTTTACTGGAATCTTCATATTATTTATCTGATTGTCCTGATTGTTTCTTGACGGTTTCAAACGGTTGCCATTTTATATATCTTATACTGTGTTTGCGTTTTACTAAATGTTGGGAAACCTTACTTACTTTTAGGTATGCGGAAGTGGTATAGATGTTCATGTGTTCATTTCTCCAAATGTGGCACCCGTCATGTTGCTCATTGGAAGTAAAAATTAGGTGATAAGTCTTACTTAAGCATTGTAGTAAGATCTTTGAATACTGTCCTCATCTGTACCAACACGGAGTACGGTAATTTTAATGTTTTAGTTGAAATAGGAATATAAGCCGGCTTGATGTAACTACGAGTACACTTGTAACTGTAGTTTCCGTCGTTTCTCTTTTTGTTATTTGTTTTGTGCTTGGTTACGGTCTGATAAATCTAAAAAAAGTATAACAATTATACCGAGCTACAAGGCAATTTCAATAATGGGAAGTCCATAAAAACTGACAAAAGCAAAAGCTATCAATCAACAGAACAAGTGAAAAATAACTGCCGCATTCCGGACTTGGCACATCCATTTTCCAAAAAAATAAATGGTGGGAAACACTTTTAAACTGATTTTATCGTTTGTTCTTTTGTTCTGTTTCTACTTCAAAGAGTTAGGGTGAGGGTTAAGCGCTCACAAATATGTAAACCCACGCTATATGCATAATGTGTCTGTCCCATGCCATGATGTCATGGTATTTGTTTCTAGTTCATATTTGTAGTGTAATTATGCAGTTGATACTTGTTTTAATTGTTTAATATTTTGTATACCGGGACTTTTATAGCTGACAATATGGTAAAGGTTGAAGTCCATTCGGCAGATATTGCCAAAATGTAAAGTTCGATTATTTATATCAGTTAGGATATTAATGCCAGACTTAAGCTTTAATTGTTTTCCTGCTCTTGTATAGAGAGTACATTCAAGAAAACGGTGAATTAAATCTTAAAATAACTATCTGCGTGCACAACCTGGATCACCATGAAAACTAACTCTAAATAAATATGTAATTCACTGTATCGAATTTTGTAAGCAAAAGATTAAGATGTCAAATACCTATTGAATAATAGAAAGGTTTTTTAATCAATAGATATCTTGGGCTTTTTAATATTTCAATTGTTGGTAAATTTCGCAATTCCGACTCTAAACTATTCCAAAAATTTATTATGGAGGTAAAAATTGATAAGATTTTAAATGTAAACCAGCAAGTGGTATTGTATAATATCTTGCTTTCCTTTGGATACGTCCATTATTGACTCGTGCTAAAGTGTGTAAGCAGCATTGTAAATACAAAGGATAATTATGGCTGTGAAGAACAAACTAAATTTTCTCTTGCGTCTTCTTAATTATAAAGATGCCCATACTTTTCCTAAATACACGATTCAATACTTAAAAATTTCGCTACCTAAATAACAATTATAACAGCTTCGTTTAATACTTGTTCCATTTTGATGAAATAATGATTAGTTCAACTATCCCATAAATCAAAAACATATTCTAGTATGGAATGTATGTGGATTGAATACTTTTTTCAGGTTCTGCTTGCTGGCAGTAAATTTGAATACCAGCAAAAAGGACATTTCTTAGATGTGCTTTTAATGATAGTATGGATGAGAAAATTCCGTTTTCAATCTGAACTAAATGCTATATCCAACTGTTGATGATTTTTTATAGTGTATTTCTTTATTCCCTTTAAAACAAAATCAGGTTTCGAGCGGTGACCTGAAATTGTTAACATCTTTGTCCATTGATCTTTTTATAAGTTGTCTAATTGGCAACCATAAAAAATATCTCATTATTTTTATCCGCAAATAAAAAAAAAAAACACAGCTCCTTCTATTTACTTTAATTCGTCTTTGCAAAGACATAATAAGACTTTAAACACTGAGCATAAGCTCATACGTGACTGTGAGTAAGAGAAATAACACGAACACTGTCTGAGTAGAATTATTAGCAGTTGCTGAATGTTAGTCTATTGTTTATTACAGGAATGAATTGGTATCATAAAGCAACAGACCAATGTCTTTAAAATACTTTATACCAATACAGGGTTTTGACGTACGTTGGACATCTGAGATCTCCCCCTATTTTTAAGGGGTTGGTGTTGCCATGTCTAAAGATTTCACATACTGTGGTTTGTCTTTTGATCGTTTTTCGGTTTTTTGCAATAGCATTGTTTGAATCCTTTGGTATTTTTCGCCTCCCTTTTAATTTGTTCTAATTTGTTATAGTTTTAAAGTATTATTCATTTTATTAAATATATTACAAAAGAAAACAACTATTCTTTAAATGAAAGAAATGAAATTAAGTTTGGTGACATACAAAACAATTCTAGAAATATACAAGAATGTTATATGTTTCAATACGATGAGAATGAAATTGATTTCAGAATAATTTCCCATACAACGCTAGATTATCTACTGCTTCAACTGAGAATGTAAACTGATTGTGTCCGTCTCATACAAGGAAGTGCCCATCAAGAAAAACACCAGTGACCAAAAGTCATGCTGAACGACACATTTTACGGTTAAAAGTAAAATCACAAAAATACTGAACTTCGAGGAAAATTCAAAAAGGAAAGTCCCCAATCAAATGGCAAAATCAAAAGTTCAAACGCATCAAACGAAAAATAAATTATACATGTATAATTATTGCCATACATTATTATTCCTTAAAGTAAATATAATGCATTAATACGTGTTTATTAAGCTGACGTTGTTTATCACCTTAATTACTTGTTCTAGTGTTCTTGTATTTGTCTTTGTTAATTATCAACTTTTACTGTTTAGTCCATTTTTGGTAATATCCTTTTGGCGTAGCTCGGTACTTATACATCTCGCTATTGTGTTATTTTGCTATGGTAATATTTGCATTCTTGTCTTTCATTTTGGCTCATGTGCATTGTCTATACGCCATTTTCTTTTTCTTTATAGACATATTGTTGATTTTATAGTGATTAAGATTATAACACAATGGTGACGGCTGTACCCCTATTTTTGACATTTTTACCTATAATGTCTGTTTGTTTTGTTCACACATTAATATTGTTGTCAATATAATGGAATTTTTTTAGACTGTCATACAAGTGAGAGGTTTAGCTAACTATAAAACCTGGTTTAATCCACCATTTTCTACATAAGGAAATGGCTGTACCAAGTCAGGAATATGATAGTTGTTTTTCATTCGTTTGATGTGTTTGAGCTTTTAATTTTGCCATTTGACAAGGGACTTTCCGTTTTGAATTTTCCTTGGAGTTTGGTATTTTTGTTATTTTACTTTTTATATTTTTCCTTTTGTTTCGATTGTCTGCACTACACAATCTTATATGCAGAAAGTATAGTTATATTCACAATTCAATATGCACATTGTAAAATAAAGAAAATGTGTTGAATCGCAAAGACATAATACTTTTAAATATAAAGAGATGCTCAGTTTGAATATTTAATGATTAAACATGAAGTAAAGTTTTTAACATTAGAATATAGTTTATATATTTGCTTGAAATGAAGTATTATTAAACTTACCTTTTTAACCAAGTTTGAATTTGAAATTCCGTTATTGTCTTTAAATATGATAAAGTGAAGCTCATTATTGTGCATACACGTTAAACACTAAATTATAAGACAATGCTTTAAAACCCTTGATTAAATACTTTATTAAAATCTAACACAGGAATATACAGGTCAGTGGTTACGACATTGTAATATATTTTACATTTACTTTCACTACAGAGAAAACATACAAGTTCTCACTTCAGAGCAAATGTATAAATTAGTCTATTCTCACTATGCGGAATCCGGTTTCGAAACATACAGTTGTACAATAGCTAAAGCTAATGATTGTTTTATAATTCGTCCATTTGATTGATAAATAATCAACGATATTCATTTACATTTAGACACATTTATTTGATTTTAAATACATAAGATATGTTAAGCACACACATTTATATTTTGAGACACGAATAGCATAATGTTATAATATGGAGCAACACTTCTTTTTCATTTCATATATTCACCAAAAAACATTATAATATTATATATATATAATTGGCCATAACTTTTGCAACACTTTTCATTTTATTAACTGCAAAATTTAGTTTAAGAGAAAAAAATAACTTAAAGAAATAATTCTGTTTGATTATATCTATTAGCCAAACATTGATTTTTTGTTTATCTAGAGAACTGCTGTTTTATTTATTTAATCGAGCATCGTTTCAGAAAGATTTTTCGGATCTATATTAGCATTGTCATGAATATTATCTTGTACTATTTATAAATGTAATACATTTGATAGTTCGTCAAGTAAGGTAAATCGGGAGGATGAACAGATCAACCGATGTACATTGTTATCAAAAGTAGCAAGAAATAATTAAAACAAAACAAAGTAAATAGCACACGTGTAGTCAAAATATACAAGTCATGAAATATTCAAATAATTATGATTTAAATTCTGAGTAATCTACCAGATCACTTGAATTATTAACATTTTTAAGTGTCTTTTATGTGGTTGAACTTTTATCATATTACAATGATTTTTTCTGGTTTTGAATAAAAACAATAGTGTTATTTTGAACATAAAAAGTCACTGGATTTACATATTTTGTACATACATTAACGATAGCCAAAACATTCTTTTAAAGGGTATGCTAGATTTTTTCTTTCAAACGTATACTTTGAGGTCAATGTTATTCTTTTGGGTTTTTATTTTCCTTGTTGTTTTCGGTTCTGGTTAACAACGATTTTGTTTATTTCAACACAATATAAATTTGCTATATGCTTGTCTGGAGAATTGGATTAAATATCATGATAATCCTGTTTTATTTGATACAGATAAAGCGTATAGTGACGTAGCAAATAATATCATTAACACCTGCAAAATCGCAATTTCAAACAAAACATAACTTTCTCTTATTAGTGGAACTGTTCTGTTAAAAACTACTCATCAATGAATCTGGATTATAATTTATTACGACAGACGAACTTTTGTGTACATAATGCTCATCAAGGCGCTTGAATCAAAACAATTGGCAAGCCAAATCAAATACGAATTTAAAAAGCATGGCGATAAGCAATTAAAAACAATTTATAACAAATAAAAGGTAAAAAAGGTACAAAGATATAATAAAATATTTCAGTCCTTTACAATTGGTACGAGCGTACAAGTTGAATAAGTTAATCTGTAAAAAGTAAAAGTCGGGCACTATTTTGTATCAACATTGTCATTAGTACAGTCTATATTCTCCAAAGTAACTTTTTCATCCCTGCACCGATGTTCAGTCTTCGGAATCTGGTCAACGATGTGAACAGCGTTTTTTTGTTTCCTAATTAATGCTTTCACAAACATGCCAAACACTTCTAATAATTCACCGAGACTTAAGACTGATGCTCCAATAAACAATCCAAGAGAACCACCGATATCAGCTAGCATCTGGATTTGCTAAAGATAAATGATAGAGAACATACATAAATTATGATAGTGTTCTATATACATGTGCATGTCAAACTGACTTTCTATCATGTTTGACAGACTAAAGTTAATATACACGTATATAGCGTACAGTATACACTGAATTAAAAAGTTTTATATTAGCAAAATTGTAAAAACAGTTCTGGACATTTTATTTCCGTTTAGTGAAATATATTTGTCTTCAAAAGATATGCGATGTGGTATCTTATAAAAATCATGAATATTAAGGTTATTTTTACCCATCTGCAAATGTTTCTATTTCGTTTATTTCATTTATTTCATATTATATAACTATCATCTTTTTATATTCGCTTTTTAATCACAACGCATTGGTGTAAATTGTGTAGATAATTATTGTACAACAAGCATGCGTTTCTGGAACAATCCTCAGCAGGTAACTTCGAAACAAACAGATATCAAAGCGATTCATATAACGTTATTGAAGGAATTTAAGCAAAGGACCCGAATGCGATAGTTAGAATCGTCCGAGTCGTCTTTTTGAATTAAAATAGTGATGATACCAAATCAGTCCAAATTAAAGTTGGTAATTTTGTTTGGTTTCTTTTGGTAATACTTCTCCTTTACGTATTCAGGAATTTATGAATCATTGACTTTCATATGTTTGGGCATAAGAGTTCCTGATGAAGATAAGTCCAGAAAAGTTGTTAGGACGGACCAAATTTATGAAGGGTTATTTTTATTATCTAGCCCTGGGTCGATACCGCTGGTGGTCGGGATAAGTCCACAGACGTATCACCAGCTTCCTCCCTTGTCCGTTTAGAGAATGTAATCACATCGCAAACGTCATTATTTTTCCTAAAATTAAAGGTACATACATCGTATACTACCTTATTTGTCTCTTTTTTGTCTAAAATTGTATTTTTTTGCTAACTGTCTCATTTATAAGTATAGAGACAGTACTTGTATCGTAAACTTTTTCACCTGTTTGCTAAGGTATATTACTTACATCATAAGCTGCTTCCTCTGACCATATATTATATGTTGGTTCTTTGAAGTATAATTTGATCTTTACAAAATTTTCTCTGCAAATAGATGTAAGCTTTCATTTTTTTTCATTTAGATTATTTTAAATTCAACAATGTGTGCTCAGATACTAACAATATTCATAAATAAGCTCCAAAATTGGAAAGTTTTTCTTAAACGAGTTTGTATCAATCAGTTATTAAACATTCGGAGTTATAAACAACCTTTGAAATCAATACAGTCAACATAATTATATGATTTGTATGTTTAATTCTGTATTCAAATGAAACATTAAATCATTTGAGATTCTTTCTAACTTTAAAGAGGAAGATGTTCATAAGTCGTGCTAAGTATACATCCACTCTTCATTCAAAGTTTCGGAAAGCAGTAAGTAGATGTCTGATAAATCCGGGAAGCACTAACACGTCAAAAGTCATCAATGTCAAGCTGAAAACCAGATATGAATTCACTCTGTTAAGAAGTACATGTATAATATGTAATGAAAATGATAGGTTCTTTCATCTTTCAGCACATTGAAATATTAAAAGTATTGGCATTCAAAATGAAACTTGACAGATTTGAAAATTGATAACACGTTACAATTTATTACCGTTTAGATGCTGAATAATCATGAAGTCAATTTCTTTAATTGTTTCTGAGAAAAATGTAAAGAACATACTTGATGGACGAACAGACAAACAAGGTGCTTGCAATATATAAAACACATCTAGAGTGGAGGTAGATTTAAAAAAAAGAATCAGTTACATGTAAGCTGTTCCTCGTTATAGTTTAACACATTTATGTATGGAATATGCCAACAATATTAAACAAAGTCGGAATACTTTTAAATAAAAAAATTAATGCTCAAAGCACAATTTACTAAATGCATGAACTATCAACCCTGAATAAACTTTGTCTAATAACACAGGAAATCTAAAAAAAAAGCATTGAGAATGTTCACCTTACCAATCTTTGTCACAATCAAGTGACATATCCCAACACTGGCATTCCATTTAAATAAAACATTTGACACAACATTATACAGGAACCTATCGCTATCGTAAACATTAAAATGAACTCACGTATATTGTCTGACGTGTCTGATACCCGTGTATTCTATTCCGTGTTTTATCGATTAAATTCTAAATGCAGTAAAAAAAAAGCGACAATAATTTAGACGGTAATATAAAAAAATACGATATCTAATACACCTAGTAGACAACAAAAAATAAACTAAGTACCTGTAAAAGAAAACATAAAATAAACAGGTTTGTACATATATGTATATGTATAAATTCTCTTAAAGTTTGTGATTCTTACGTCAAAGTGTTTCTTTTAACCAATCTATTCAGTGGACAATTCCTAAGTGAAAAAGCTCCATATATTCTTCTACATAAGTTGTTTTTCATCGTGTTCTGAAATTAGTAAAGCAGATATTTGTGAGATATAACCATGGTAACTAATCTGATCTTATTTAACTTCTAATGAGCAAAAAGGGCAATTGCATAAAATTAAATAGGGAATTGTTTGCATATTCTAGTGTCCAGTAAAAACAGTACGGTAGGATTTTTACTCACTGGTGAAGGCCGTACAATGACCTATAATTGCTTAACGTTATTTAGACTCTGTTGAATAGAATTGGCAATCATACCACATTTCATTATTTTATCTTTTATACTAAAGTTTCAATATTAATTTTTTATGACATATTTTTCGAATGAATCTAGAGGTTACAATTGCGCAATTTTTTGTTTACATTTACCGGGAAGTTTTTGATCTCCCCATGAATGAAAATTTGTAACAGCAGCAACTGAGATATTTGACAGATTAAGGGGATGTAGAGTCGTCAAAAGTTGTAGAGATGATCATTTTCAATGACTATATATAATATCCACACAAATATAAGGTATCGATACTACACGGCTAAATGATTTACATGTAAGGATGAGGATAAGGTGAACGCTACTTACGGAGTCAATGACAATATATCATATATCATGAATGATGAAGTAACATTTTTTTGTCTATAACAGTATAAGAATCATAGTATGTGTGGTACTAGACGCAGTATTTTATATGTGTAACGAGTAATAACGTAAATACAGCTCCAATTCAAAACAAACTGTTTACTGTCTACAAAACTAT